GTGGTTTATAACTGTTTTACATCTTCAAACTGGATTTTTATTCTTAATTTAAAAAAATCTAAAAATTCTGCATTTTATTTTAATATTAATAATAGTAACTTCTGATCAGAGTAAGATATGTGCTTAGGGCAAAACTAAATATGAACTTGTCCTACAGTATATCTAATTAATGTTGTTATGTGTAAATAGTAGAATAATATCATATATACAAAAACGTGTTTATCATACAGAATTTCCTTCAAATGTTGTTTAACTACAGAAAATACACTGACATGTATCACTTCAGTCATATGTTCAAATTAATAAACACACATCCAGATTTACACTAATTTTCACCTCAACAGGAAAAAAAAAAGATTTGCAGATATTATTACTTTAAATAAAAAACTGTATATCAGAGCAAAATGTCTTTTTACTGTGAACAATTATGGTTCATAAAAGAGAAACATATGAATCTTTACAGGAAAGTCAGATGCTTCCCTCTGCACATGGAAAAAAGAAGGAAGAAATTGCAGGAAAAAGAGGAAAGTTTATCCCAAAGCGACACTGAAGGGCACATAAAATAATTCAGGAATTAAAAGCACCAGCAATTCAATAAAAAAAAGTAACTACTTTAGACACATCAATCAAGGTGTCTCCATAAGAGTGAACATACTTAGATAAATTTACGTGTCGGCCTTAACAGTGTCTTCCACATAGGGAAAAAAGTGAACTTCCAAAGACACTTGATGATATAACCTAGAGATAACCTTGCAACTTATAAAAAGATATCTATAAACCTAACAAGTAAAAGTGGTAAAGCATAAGTGCAAGTGATGCTAGGGATTTCATTTAATTAACAATAAAAGAATAATAATATATTTTTTTATGAGTGGAAGGGAGAAAGATAACAACATAGAACCTTAAATGACCACAGTAATCTGTCCAGGTCTAAATGTTAACATTTTCCAATGCCAAAAATATATTTCCAACAGACACTTACCTCCCTCACTTTATAGCTTTCTTTCAATCGTGCTGCCCGCAAATTTTTCTCACCACTAGCCTAAGGCTCCCACCTAATCTCACATGGTATAGCTACATGGAGTGTGACACATCCTCCTAGCATAGCTGATTATCTCTATACTATAGAGCACAATCATTAGTATGGGGATTAGGCAAGAAAAGATGCACCAGAAGTAAGTAGGTTGAATGGGAAGTGTGAGAGGAGGTATCTATCGGAAATACATTTTCAATGTTGGAAAATGTTAACTTCCAAAACAATACCTTACCGCTTCTCACATAGTAGCCAGAATCTCACATTGAAATGGTGGAGGGACCAGTGCAAATTTAACCTACATAAGCCCCTTTGGAAGGTGCCCATGACACCCTGAACCATGAAAATTGAAAGTCATGCCTGTGGAAGACTGCACTTCATCTGCACCAGGGTATACACTTCCCCACTTAAAGATATGTGTTGCCAAGCAGAAAGGAAGCAAGTCCAATAGAGGAAATGGACATGCTAGACCATACCCAATGGGTCAGCTCCAGTACAAAACCAAGTGGCATCAGGTGTGGGTCTTCTGGTCCACAGTAGGAGAAGGGTCCCAACTGTCTGCAGTGCCGGTACACAATCAAGCCAGGCCAACTGGGAACCCAACATTTGGAGAAATGCAAATGTGGTGGGTCAACTCCAGTCCAAAATCAGGCATTGTCAGGAGTTTTCTGTCCATATCACAGTAGGAGTGTCCCTACCAACTACATGTGTGAGTGCTTATGTTGGCTGGTCCTGCTCCTATCCAACACCAGACCACCCAGGAACTGACAACAAGGTGGCAATGGGATGGGGAAAAGCCAGCTGGAGGGGTAAACTGCATATGGCAGATTCATCCAGGTGATATTTTCCAGTCCATGGTAGGAGGAGAGTATACACCAACAGAACACCATCACTCTACTGAGTGGAAGTGGTCACACCCAGTAAGAAGCCTCAACAGTCCACCACCCCAACAGCTAGGAACTGGTATGTGGCAAGAACTCCCATACTCTACTAGAAGAGGGGAGAGAATGCAATGAGAAGTTTGGAGGAACTCAACACCTTAAGACTGTACAATGGGTGACCACAAAACCCCCATTTTCGAAAGTAGGCCAATCTTGATTTGTTAAACTAGAACCAGAGAGATGGGCAGCAATTTTGACACTGTTTTACTCATGGTAGTATATGGGTTGATATGGTCTCAAATAGACCTTATTTATAATGCAGTATGCTGTGAGAAACCCTCAAGTCATCTTGTGGAATGCCCCAACTCATCAGTGGGCATTACAAACCTTAAAGTTTGCATGGTGCAGATTTTATGTTGTGTATACCCTAACAAGCAACACTTGCCACTGAGCAGATCCAGAGATGTAGAAATAGGCCAACGTAAAGGTAAGAAATATAAAAAGAGAACTTACACATTAAAAGCTGGTATAGGGTAGAGAAAGTGGCAATGAATATCCAGATGAAGAAGATACGGTCAGATATGAAAATAATGTGCAACACAAGTGTGAGGTGTAGTCCACATGCCAACCAGCACGATCTCCTCCAAGGGACAATGGAATTGAGCAGCCAAAAAAAGAAATGATGAATTATATTACAGAAAACTTGAAATATGCAATAAGAATCCTTGTTCAATAAAGTATAAGTCAGACAGATGAGTTGATGGAGCCTACCAGTAACAATAACTAGAGAGAGAGAGAGAGAGAGATCCTTGGTGGAAGAGGACCCAGGAATGAGAACTATGGAAAAAAACAGTATGGGCCACAAAGCAACTAAGGTCCTGCACGAGAAAAAAAAAGAAGATCAGGACTGGACCTAAATTAAAGATGAGCAATGGATGGAAGAGAAATATTGGTGAATGTGCTGTTTCCTTCCTGTGCCACAGACATTAATAGGAAAAAAGCATGGTTGGGATAAAGGGGAACATAGAAATGATGATAAAGAATTTGGAAAACATCAACAACAGACACATCTGATTTACAACATTTGCATTCAAAATGTAGTAAAAAAATATGTCTTAAGGAAAATATGTTACAATGAACAAGAGTCTAAAGGTTCAAAGGAAGGTAAGATAAGGGCATAAAGGACAACAATGATATTTCAGGTCAGGTAGGACAAAGAAAGGAAAAGGACCATAACAGGAGAGGAGGAGATACAACAAAAATGGGAAAAACAAAAAATTATTGGACAGTGCTGCCTTATAGCCCACAATGGTAGAAACGGACAAACTATTGTCAAAGAGCTAAGTGAAAAAGTCAGAAAAGTGGGGAACAGTAGATTTAGAAGATGAGAATTCACAATGTGAAGAACAATGATGGAAAATATGCCATGTACGTTGGCAAAAAAAAATGAGGAATAACTAAGGTTACACACAAAGAGAGTCTGGAATGCATTGTAAGAAACCAGACAAAATTTGCATATGAAGACGGAGTGTGGATATCACTAGATGAGGGAGGGAGGAATGAGGTTGCCAGAGAAGTAATTGGGAGAGAGGAAACAGAAGGAGAGGAGATGACTGGAAAAAGGCTCAAGAGTTGAAACCACAGTTGGGCTAGCCAGAAGAGAACAATTATAATGCCCCAACATGGAGTGATTTGAATAAATGAAAGTATCTGGGGGCAAGACAGATAGGAGGGAAGGCAAACAGATAAAGATTGAACCAATTGTGATTAAATGCATCCACAGCAAGAGCTGAGGAAGTTTAGTATTGAGATTTATGACAAAAGCATCCAGAAGGGGAGTATGCAGATGTGAGCAAAATTACTAGAACACTTGAGGAGGAGGAAAAAGGCTGTCAAAATAGTCATGCTCTGGAACAGAAGGTCAGTCCTTGGCTCAGGAGACACCACAAGCCACATGTAAGACTCCAATTCCCAATGCACTAAGGCCAAAATCTCCTCAGCAGTAAGAATAGAGCCCAATGCTACAGTAGTATTATATCTCACAGGATCAGAATCCTTAGGATCCATACCAGAAGCAGTAGTAGTGACATTATACTGCAAGTTTATAATGGGGGGGAGGGGGGGATTAACAACTTTCAACAAGATGAAAATAACAGAAAATAGAGTTATCAAAAGTTAAGTAACAATCACTGTGTGATTAATGAAAATTAATTGCATGCCTGAACAAGTGAATGCTAAATTGAGAAGTGATAATTGTGCTCCACAGTATAGAGGTAGTCAGCTGATAAACTATGAAAATGGAAAGATATGAAGAATTAGCCAAAAAGACATGCTGCTCTAATAGTAAGGCCAATTCAAGAAGCAACCAAAAAAAAGAACACTTACACACACATGCACACAATGTATGCCAAAGGATTTGGTTGGGATCTGAAGATTACTACAGAGTTGGCAAGAACATTCTTGTGTCAATATCTCAGCCATCCCCTCCCATCTCAAACTTCGGTAAATTGCCAGTATGGCAGTGATGAAGTATGTAGAATTATATTTAACTTACCAGCTACCATCACAAACACAATGTCTTGTTTGAGTTCAAAACTAGTTGTGTTTGATCTCTACATCAGTGTATATAAAAAAAATTATCTTAGTCACACTATTTCTTTCAGCATTACAATCACCAAGACAAATCTGTTGTTTTGATTAACCATGTAGATGCAGAAGTACATGACTGTAAATCCACTAAGGTATTGATTAAAACAAGCTTTGGCACTGTTAGATTAAGGGAATGAGAACAAGAATGCAACTTTAAATGAAACCTGTCCGAGAAGGATATTTCCACCACTCGAACATCAAGGTTAACCTTGTAAAGAGGTTGTAAAGTTTTTTTGAATAAAAGTGAAGAAAGAGAAACTAGAGAAGCAGGTCCAAATTCAACAAGATACATAGAGTACAAGAAATGAAGTATTTATACAAAATGATGGATTTTAAGAATTTACTCACTGGAGTAAATTTCTTTAATATAAGAAAATGTGTGTGTGAATCATAACATAGCTTTAAAATTACTTCAAATATTATATAATACAATCCACCTTCTTGACACATTAAAAATATTCCAGTCAGGTTGGTTTCTATAACAGCATTCCAGCCTTTTTTACTAATGTCAGCAGCTTGACAAAGAAATTGTCCACCTCCATTATTAACCAAGTAGTCCAGTTTTCCATACTGCTTTAATGTTTCCTCAAATAAATGCTTTACCTATAAAGAAAAAAACAGATATCTAGAAAACAAGATTTAACATAAAACAACAACAAAAATTCCAGAAGACATAATGATATCAAAAAATAGAGAGCTCTTAACCGTGTTACAACCAATGAACACTATTTGGGTGTTCAGTGCATTCCAGCATATCAAATTTCAAAATCTATGTAAAAATAATAATTCTTATTATACTTCAACAACTGTTTAGTCATTCTGTCACACTTACCAAGTGTAATTCACAAAGAAAAATGTTCAAACTTGCATTTCTATTGAACTCCAAGGAGTCTTACCAGTAAATAACAGTACACTAACTAGTTTTTTTGAAACTTTTTCTGCCCATCTCAAAGCACAGGTCTTTATGTACTAAGAAACTATCATTCTTTAGCAACACGACTAACCAAGTCTTTTTTCCTTCTCTGTCTCAGAATTTAACATTAAAAGCCTCTGTTCAGTGAGGTCATAAAGAAGGGAAAAAACTATTTATGAAGAAGAGCTTTGAAACTAGCTACAGGCAAAGTTCAAATAACAATACATAGAGCATATTATAAACCATCTGCACCAGTGTAAAGTGAATAAAGTGGTTATATGTAGCTCTTTGAAAGACAAAATGGAATTCTTGTGTAAAGTTTAGAAAACCTAAGAAGTACAAACCACAGATCTGGGAATTTTTTAATAGAATCTTTAGATGTTCTTTACACTCCTCAAAATACATTTATGTTAAATTATGTTTGTTTGAAAGTTGTAGCAATTTCTTCTATGACATGATATCAGGTAAGCTATACAAGGTTTAGAGAAAACAGTAGTGACGGCATAATTTCCGGTGACTCAAATCCTTATCTTTGAATACTACAAACAATGCACATAAATAAAGTAACACACTTTACTGAAAACAAAGTATACTTACTAGATATAAATGAATTTCAATCCAGACTCATGTTAACAACAATACTGTTTACCTAGTCTGACCTGACAAATGTCAGGTCTGAGGTCACTAATAAATCTTTATCGGTTTATAAGATGATTTTACAACATATATATATATATATATGTCTGAGAATGATGACTACTCCAACTGCCAAAAGAAATATGCTAATAAAACTCAATGAATTTGAAATTGACTGCATATGTAAACTATTTTACAAAAATTATAAGACAAAAGGAAGTTCCTTTTTTCAAGTGTCTCACAACAACAAAAAAAATCAAATTACATGGATATTTTTGACTGAACCTAGGTACTATTTATTAAGTTTGTGCTATGTTTCATGCAAGTTGGTTTTAAGTATTTCCATTATGAAAAAGGGTTTACCCCTGACATTGGACAGTGTCATTGGCAATGGTAACACTGTCCAACTTGATTGTATTTTTAGCTTTTTACTTCTATTTAGATTTTTACCTAATTGGTGATTCGGTAAAGTGAAAGTAGTGAAGACTTGTATGAAATGTTATTTACATTTTTGGTATAACTGTATTATGTTACTGAATACTTTCGGGATCAGGGGTTGACACTAATATCTCTTAATGTTTTTCCTTTTCACAGTGGTTGTTTGTTTGGCATTTTATGGCACAAAGCACAAAGAAAAGTTAAAAATGAAGCAATGCCCAAATGAAATGTTAATAATATAAGCTGTACCCAAATAAAAAAATGTGCACATTATAATGAAATTATTTTAAAATTAAAGGATAACAGTATTTCCACTTGTGTTAGCTACTACTGCATTTAATCAGTTTTAGTTTACAGGTAATAATAATTTGGATTTATATTTACGAATAAAACTTCTCTAACAAAAACCTGACTTGTTCATTAAGTCAGTATCACAATGTTATTTGTAAAATTTATGTTTTCATAATAACTTCTTCCAAAAAATATTTCTACTGTCAAACAAAACTAAACTAACCTGAAGTTCTTGCCTGATGTTGCATGGAACATGCATTAGTCGAGGTGGTGACGTTTCCTCTATTTCCCCCTTCAATTCTGTCACAGCTTGTTTTAGCTGTTCTTCTTTTCGTGATGCAATAACAACATTACAGCCTGTAAATATGTAAGTACAAGCATAACTTAATGTAATAATATTACTGTATTAGTTACAAAACAACTTATTGTAATTCATATAAGAAAAAATTATCAAAATCTGTGACTTATCCAGTTTAGTTTCTTTTATTTTAAAGTGCATGACATACAGTCTAAATGATAATGAACTTCACATACTAGTGAATTACCTGACAGGTTTTTCCGTGGCAAGTGTTGAAATGGAGATATGACCTTGGTAAAGATTACAGAGGGATGAATACATTATAATAAAACGATTTTCAATATGCAGGTTAGCAAATCGCATAACAATCACAGACAATATAAAGTTATGGTGGAATGGCATATATGAGAACTACATTTTGACATTGTCTGGCATTTCATAGGCAGTGTGATGCCATCAAAAACTGATCACTTTTCTGGAACAGAATATTCGATCAGATCATAATGATATTTTTAGGCTAGGGATATCCATCATACTTAATGATATTGGATCAACTTAGGACATAATTCCCTTAAAGTCCTACAGATTAATTGGATCTACCATAATTGAAGGCAATCTGTTCCAAAGGCCAACCAACCTATTAGAAAAATAAAGTTGTCTTAGCTGAAGATTACTCATTTATTTCCTGTTATGATCTTAACCCTAACCAGTTTATGGTTGGCCAGTATTTTTGTAAACCAAGAATTTTACACCTGGGTGGCTGGTCCAGTCAGCATCCATATAGGATGATCACGTTTTGTAACAGAAATTTGAACTCGTGACCACAGATTGCAAGTCAGGCACCCAAACCACCAGGCCATGCCTGAAGATAACTCCTACCCTGCCAAAATTTATAGTTGTGTCCTATGGCCCTACCATTCTCACTATTAAATATGATGATAATATGAGGCATTAACATTATTAATTCCTGTAACAATCTTAAACACCCCAGTCAGATCGCCTCCAACTCTTTGTTTTACAAGAAAAAACAAGTTCACAGATCTTAACCTATTCTCAATGACAACTTTTCCACCCCAGATATTATCCTCTGAACACTTTTCTTTACTGTCGTGCCATCATTACAACTCTGATTGACGACAACATTTTAGACACTTGTTTCCTAAGCATTTAGCCCTGACATTGGGCAGGTGGCAATGGTGATACTGTCCAACTTGATTGAATTTTTAAATTTTTATGACCATTGGCCTTTTTAATTCTATTTGAGTTTTTTTATCAGATTTTTTGCACATGGTTTAGTTTTAACTTGATCCAGTTTTACATTTTATTGAATTTTACTTTTATAAGATTTTTACTGGTTGTTTGGTGCAGATAGCCAAGTTGCTATGCACCAAAAAAATGCCAAACAACTAACCAATCAACCTGAACCCTTTTCAACAATTCAATGGCCTCTCTAAGGTAAGAAGTCCAAGACTGAACACAATACTCCAAATGTGGCCTAATCAATACATATATAATGACACTACAACCTCTCTACACTTGTACCTAATATTTCTATATACAACCAGATCCTATTTGTCCTGCCACTAGCATTGCTTGGATGGCTTAAACTGATGAAACAAAACACCAAATGATTTTCTTCCATAATGCTATTAAGGTTATTTCCACCAAAATTATACTCACATTTCAAATTGTGATATCCCACACATATTACCATGCACTCATAATTAAAATTCATTTTCCACTTATTCCCACAACTCAACAAATCATTCAAGTTTTTTTTTAAAGCCAAAAAAAAATCACTTATACTTACCTCAACCTATGTTATTTCACTTTACTTTAGTTACATTTTTGCAATATTAATATTTGAATGAATGACAGAATAGTCAAATCAAACAGCATTCTATCATCTAGACAATCCTCATTTTACACAGTTAACAAGCATTTGTGTGATACAGGAACACCAAAGAAATATATAGAAAATAACTTTACCTAAATAAAGTAATTCTTGAGTCACTGCATGACCTATTCCAGTTGCTCCTCCAGTGACAACTGCCACCTTGTCAGAAAAAAGACCTTTTCTAAAGACACTCTGTACAGCTTTAATGGCCATACTAAGGAATGATAAAAAATAGCATTTAAAGTAATATATATATATATATATAT